ATAAAATAAAGGTTAAGGTTTCGTTATTGTTGGATTATGATGAAAGCTGATGCAGTAGAATAAAGTTCATCATCATCATCATCATCATCATCATCATCATCATCATCACTGTGACACAGTCGAAAGGTTTTGTCTGGAGGCTTGAACTTTACCATCAAAGTCAACTTGCTCTGAATAATGTTAAGTTTGAACATCTGTGGTTCCATGGCAACGAGGCAAACGTCCTCTAATGATGACCAGATGTTATCGTCAAGTACTTGAACATTCTAATACTGAATTTAGTTACTTTACTTTAAAGTTACCATGAACCACTGTCACACAAAATAAACTTGTTCACTCACATTACAGACTAAACTCAGGATCATGTGCAGCAAAGACAAAGAGACAGGAAACACACACAGATCACCTCAGGGTGCCCCACACCCCCTCCCTCTGTCGCCTCCTCTGTCGCCTCCTCTGTCGTCTCCTCTGTCGTCTCCTCTGTCCTCAGCGAGGCAGGTCCAGACACGTTCTCTAACTGTGTCTGCCTCCCTCCTGCCTCTCAACATGAGGACCAGGCCTGAGCTGCAGCAGAGCAGCGACACCAACCTGACCCGTGCTGCTGCTCTTCAGCCAAAACAAACAGGACACACCCAGGAGCAGCTGGACGCTCACTCTGTTTACCTGTGGACACACTACAGAGGAGGAGAGGTCAAACTATGGCTGAGTCAAAAGACAGCTGAAGGATTAAGACCTAAAAATGTCTAATAATATATATATTTTTTAAAAACACGTGTGAGACATGTTCGTCCCTTAAATGAATGTAGATTACATTCAAATTGAATGCATTAGCTCAACAATTGAAATAATCCTGCAAAGTGTTGAGGTCGGTGGATGTGTCACCGGGTTTCCTCACAGTTAGTTAGTAGCTAAGAAACCAGTCAAATAACCCGTGAAACATGGGATTAAATGGGTCGTGTGTGGGACAGAGATCCAGAGAGGTCAGGAGCAGCTCCGTCAACAAATCGATGTAGGTTAATGTCATATATTCTGTATTTCCATCTGACTTAATGATGGATGTTCCCTGCACGGTGTCCATTGATGCTGGCTGTGAGTGGGATGGTGCATTATGCCAAAGAGTAGTTTACACCCTTCGTTCATCCAGTGCCAGGAGACGTAAACACACACACACACACACACACACACACACACACACACACACACACACACACACACACAAAGGGCGACAAAGAGTAAGGAAAGTGTTACAAACTCAATATGTCACACACAAGCTGGAAGGAGCCGTCTTAGATTCAGTTACTTACTGCCTGGAAAATAAACACACACATTCTCCACTGACCTAATTTGGAGTGTCACTCCTTCCATCAGCCCCACACACACTGTGGGACAACACAATGGTCCAGTGTGCACCCACTCCAAACACACAGCTAACTCCAGAGAGTAGAAGCTATGGAGGAGGAGACCAGCTCTTGATCTTTACCCTGCAACCAAAACTACCCAATCGGCTGTGTATCCCTCTTCTCACCACGAGCTCCTTGAGAAAGACGACAAAACGTGGCTTATGGTCAAAACATTGTGGCACAGTTTGATCTGAGCAGCTCTGGTTCAGTTAATTAGACCGTGGACTGTAAATAAAGTTGGACAACACGTCTCCACTTCCTCCCACACATCTTGTGCATTTGGAGCCAGAGTGTGAGCAGAAGTAATCAGTGGATGTGGTGCGGTAGAGGCTCGACCAATCAGAAGTCAGCCTCAGCTGTCAAACATGACATTTCACAATGGTTTTAAAGCATCAAATAATTAATTAAAATCAACTGACATGCAATCAGAACTACCCAAAATGACAGAAACCACGTAGTTTGGTCCATGTCCCATCTGTTAACAGGGAGGAGGCATTTGTGCTGCAGCAAAGGGGGCAACCAAGAGGCTTTGGCTTCACTTTTCGGGGAGCTGTCATGTCGCCCGTCCTCATATTCAGTCTGTTGCCTCCATAGACCTTTCCACCAAAGTGCAGGAAGAAAAAATGATGAATCTGCAAAGGTTCTCTGATCAGACCCAAAACGGAGGCCTTCATATATGAATGTCTTTTATTTTTCATGGTGACCAAATTCAAAAGACAACTTTTTCAGTAAAAAGCAGCAGTTTTATGTTTGAGAAGTTGCTCATTCTGTATCAAAAGCTTAAATGACAGTCCAGACATGCAGCCTGTAAGCCTGTAAGGCTGCATGTCTGGACTGTCATTTAAGCTTTTAATAGAGAATGAGCAACTTCTAAAACTTAAAAGAGTGAAGAGACAAAAGGTGAATTCAGATCAGGTGGAGCCACAGGCCTCATGCAGCAACAGTATCGTTACTAAACCACAAACACGTTCCTCTGCAGCACATTAATCTCTGTTTGGATCGACCTGACACTTTGATATGCCAGGTATTAACCTGGTCCTGCTTCAAAGACTCACACTGGAAGCAATTAATGTCTGTTGTGTAATCACCATCGAATCACCACATGCAGCAGCAAGAGGAAGTGAAGCGATGTGGACGATTTAAAGTGAGAAATGAGTCACGTAACACACATCGGATACAAAACCTCTGAGTGAAGCCAAACAGGTCCGATTTTAATTTGTGATTAAATACCTACACTCTGTTTCACCCGTTAAAGAAAGAGGAAAAAAACGTATTGGAACTTGCCCAGTTTGACATCGATCAAACGGCTCAACAATGAACACACACTAATAAGATAATAGTTAATTACAGCTGGTGTGTGTACGTGACTCTGTGCACTCTGTGTCATTGCTGCTTTATGAATAAACAGATATTACTGCACTGTTCCTACAATTTAACTGAGCAAACTCGGGCCAGCAGTTTTCCTCGTCGTCAACTAATCAGAAAAAGAAAATCATCAGTGTCAGGATTGAGAATAGGCGTTTTTTTCTAAAATTCAGTAATGTTTCTTTACTTAAAGGGATAGTTCACCCAAAGATGAAAATTCAGTCTTTATCTACTCACCACTATGCTGATGGAGGGACGGGTGAAGTGTTTGAGTCCACAACACACTTCTGAAGTCTCAGGGCTAAATCCTCCTCCTAGTTACTGCTGCAGTAATAATAGTTTAATAGAAAATAGAAATGTAGTAATAATCTTTCAAATGAATAAGTTAAGTTCACTTCACTCAAAGAGACACATTTCCCAAAGTGTTGTCAGCCTCATAAACCTGGCAGCTGTTTTCAGTTAAGTCCAGAATTATAACAATAAGTTTTGTAAAACGTCCAGCTACTGAATTTTATTTGATTGTTGCTCTTTTCTAAGACCAAACTTATTACAGTAACTCAAAGTTGTTTGTTGACAGTACTGGTGTCAGGCCTTAGACACTGTGTGTGGCAGATATGTTGATCCCTGTGGTGTCTACCGAGGGATTTTCACCTGCTCAGGTTTAACTGTGCAGAGCTCGGGGCTCCACACAGTTTGTGTGTCAGACAAACACTCATCGCAGTTATCATGTAGTTGTCGTGGTACATTTAGAGGTACACACTGAGAGCCATTCTACATGGTTTTGTTTGTTTGTAAGCAGGATTACACAAAAACTACTCGATGGATGAACCATGAAACTTGGTGGAACTACGTGGTATTGGTTAGAATTGAACTGGCTCATGGGGCAGATCCAGGATTTATTTTAGTCTATACTTCTGTGAGCATTTTTCAAAAATGTCCTTTATTTCTCAAGAGAATGATTCATGGAGCTAGATGAAAGAAATCTGGTATTTATAAGGTTGTAATATCTATAAGGAAGTGAAATTGGGTGCAGCTTGATTGAATAGGACTGTTGGTGCCTGATGGTGGTACATTATCTAGTTATAAGATAAATACCTTGGTTGACAGTCCCAGTGTAAAGACCTTCTATTAACATTAGCGTCTCCCTCTAGTGGTGAATGACAATACATTTCATTTGTAAACTGAAAGATTACCAGCAGATTTTTTTTTTTTATTAAAAGACATTAATGAGAATCAAGTCAGTGTCAGGCTTGAAGTATTTTACTGTAGTGCTACAGTACGCAACAGGTATGAATGAAAACATCGGGCGACCTCATGTTCTCTGTAGTTTCATTCCATATAACAAAAGTATCTGGCAGGTAGAATCCCCACAGCATGGCAGTAGAGTAGAAAACAGGGAAATYAAAAAAAAAAAAAAAAAGAATATACAAATAAAAGTGTAAATAAAAGCATTCAAAGAGTCGAGATTCTTCATGTGCTCTCTGATTCTACTGGCAATTCAACATTAGAGAAGCAAGCGCACGGACCTGGCCTCTTTTAGCACAACTTATAATGGCTTACTCGCACACATGTGCTCCCTCACACTGACACACACACATGCACACACACAGACACACACACAGACACACACACACATCCATGGGAGTGCGATTGTCACCCCTGGTCTCCGTCCTCCAAGCTGAATTAGATTAGGAAAGTCTAGGTTAATCACCCAATAAATACATTCTGAAATCTCTTTTTTAAACACAGACCGCTTGACAAATATATACAAAGTGATTAAAAGATAAAAGTAACTCATTACTAAGTGTTTACATCATAAAACAGTGAACATGAACATGGTGTGGACTGACGCACACAATCTCCTTCTGTTAGGCCCAAGTATCCAATTTATCTCGTTTTATTTCTCCACTCGTTCGCTCCCTTCTTCCGCCACATTCTGCTTCTTTACGCGACTGATTGTACACACTAGTGTCGTGGTCTAGACCAAAGCCTTGCTGCACTAATCCCTTCAGCTACGGCACTACAGGCACACAAATTCAAAGACACTGTTTGGCTCTATGCCCCGCCTCCTTCCCATGATCCTTCCTCGCAACGAACGCACACAGTGCTCCCTGTAAACAAGTACTCTTTGTTCTGTCAGATTATAAATACTGTTTTGGTAAAATCATCATCATTAAAAGACGAGACAGAGTGTATTTGAGCGCATATCGATACAAAACACAAAGAATTGCACTGTTCGTTTGTACAAGTTGCGTTTTACTTCTTCTTCTTCTTTTTTTTTTGGCTTCAGCGTTAAGGCCCAAAAATCTGGAGTGGAAGGGGAGAAGGAGCGGTGATCTGCCTGCACCCATAGGGCCCTACTGTAGATACGGACAACACACATACAAGCACACTCACAGATATACAGTATTACAGGGTGATATAAAAAGACACTAAGGAATGGTGAAACATCCTCTCTGTCATTTCTTTTTGTGAAATCATTCTTCTTCATACATTTCATCTTCATTATCTAAATCTTTTTAAGCCGAGCTCGTCTCTCATTCCTCATTTCCTGTCCAAAGTGCTTGGGTGCCGGTGCTCTTTCAGTCTGGCTACACTAGGGGGTGCCGTTCCTCTCAGCAGGTGACTGACAGGCGGTGGCTGTGTTTATTGCTATAATGTCTGTGCTCCTCCCCTCGCGGAGGAAACAAGCGGGACAAAGTTCCCCTCCTGACACTGATCTGAGGTCTTTGCCCCCACTGCTGATTAGAGTCTGTGCTTTCTGGAAGGATCTCATGTCAAATCAGTGCTGGAAGGAAACTCCCTCCCTGAGGAGCAGGCTCAGGTGAAGACGTAGTTGAGGAGGAGCTGAGAGAGGAGCAGAACACAGAGGATGAGACAGTGACGGCCTGTTAACGAGACGCTGTTCTCTGTCTCCCTCCGAAGAGCCAGCTGACGACTCAGGACCACCAGGTTCCTGCAGGGAGAGAGAAAGGTCAGACCGAAGTGTTGTCAACATTGATGACAAATCTAAAACCCTCAATAAAATCACCACAATAAAAACACAAAAGTCGGCCGAAGGCAGCCAGGTAGAAAAGACAGTCATTAAGTTACCTGATTGTTTGTGTGTGAGCAAATGTGTTTGTTATTTTCACCTCTGAATATCCTGCTGCGTATTCTGTATGGATGTGATGGAGGCTTCTATCAGGGCGATGTCCTTTACCTCTTTACTGCACCGTGCACACTGGCTCGAAAACCCTGGACACAAAGAAAATGAGGAAATGAGGTTAATGTCCAGCAATAAAAACAAATAAAAAAAATAAAAGTGCATCAATGACATTTTGGGGAAAGTGGGGATATCTTGGTTTATCGTCATAACTTCAACCGGCTGTGTGAGCGCTTGGTTTTATGGTTAGGGTTAAACGTGTGAGTGGACCTCACCTTCATTGTCTGATGACTCTTGTGTGGGTTCAGGTGTGGTGCTGCTGCTCTCTGTGTTCTGGCTGCAGCTGGACGGTTGGCTGCTCGCCTTCCTGTGCTTCCCGTTCACCTCAGCCTGAGGAGAGGAGGAGGAGACTCAACTTTTTAACTTGTTCAAACTCCACAGCTGACAAATTGATAGTGAACTGCTGGTTCAACAGCTCGATGAAGATGTGGTTCGCTCTCTGAATATCACTTAAGCAAAGTGAGACGAATCATACTTTTGCTTTTCATACTTTACTCTCTCCAAACTTATTTTCAGAGCACCTACATTTCATGGATATTTGGTATGACAGGAAGTGAAGCAGCCTCCATTTTGATTAAGCGTCTATGACCCAGGATCAATAATACAGCAGTTAGCTCTAGCTAGACTCGTCTGACTGACCTTCTGTTGGCTGGTCCAGCTGTGACTGTACGACAGTTCACTGTGTTGTCTCTGCCGTTTCTTATGCGTCTGAATCACTCCGTCCTTCTCGAACTGAACCAGGCAGTGCTCAGGGTCCCACGGCCGCGTTCTGCCAAACATGACATATTGTTATCTCCACATCTCCTCTCAATAATTTTAGCTTGTTTGGGTGACATAAACTGTTAACTACAAACAAGAGTATGTGAGACTGCCTGCTTGGTGAGTGTGTGTGTTCTTACTCCATGTGCCTGTAGGTCCACTCGGAGGTGATGGGGTCCTGATGGAAAAGTCGTGAGCTCCAGGGTTTGTCTCCTCTCTCCCTGGCCTCTCTCCGCTGAGCTTCCTCTAAAACAAACTTTTCCTGGGTGGCCCGCATCTGGTCCCGATCCATGATGGCACTGGTCACATGCTGCCACAGTCTATCAACACACACACACGGTGACATTAGATCCAAAGGTTGAAATAGATAATGTTGAAGTCAGCAGTATCTTAGTAACTGTTTACATGAGATTATGAAAATAGGAATAGTTTTTCTTTAGAAGAATTAACTAATTAATCTCAGACTAGACTGGTTATAGATCAGAGAGAACATTTATCTTGTCAAATACATGTGTAATTAACATTAATAATGACCGCTTTGCTTTTAGGTGAGTCAGAACTCTGGTAGTGTGAAAGCTCACACACCAGAATAAAAGCCATTATTAATGGTAGTAGATACAACTGTGCTTAACCTGCAATGACAAGTCAAAACGTTTGACTGTGAAAATGTCTTTAATGCTGCTTTAATGTCTGTTGCGTTCAAATGAAGTATCAATTCAATACATGGATGATAAAATATGTGGTTTACCTTTCAGACTCGAACTCTCCCTGCTGGTCGATCTGTACCACTTGTCTCTTGAGCCGGCTGCTGCGGATGTCTGCAGTCGGGTTCCATAGCGTCTCCTGCTGGCCTGAGCGCTTTTCATGAATGAACACCTCGCTGTCCTGATTGTAACAAAGGCAAGAAAAGCTCAGCCTTGTCAGAAAAACCAGTTCATAACTACTTAAACTTGCCTATCAATGGAACAGGTGAAATAATAATACAATATTATCAGTGTAAATGGCTCCTTGTGAGGCTCCTGTAGTTCATGAGTCTCCCTGCTGCTGCAGGCAGGAACAGAGTTTAAAGCTCTCACCCAGTGTCCATCAACAGTGGCCAGCAGCTCCTCGCCGACAAAGATCTTCCCGCTGATCTGATTCACGGAGCAGGAGCCTCCAAGGAAAGGCTGCGGTCAAAGCGATCAAACACTTTTATTCCAATTACTGTGAAGTATCAGCTGCTAAATAGTCAACCAACTATTACGATGTAAGAAAAACAACTAGTCAAAGTAAGTTTGGTGTAAAAAATGTTTAACTAATAAAAATTGGAACCTTTAGTTTGAACTCCAGCTCTGTGAAACATTTGGTTTTCTCACACTCGATGGTGACCTTCCCGCCCAGCTCTAGTGTCATGGTGCCGTACAGGATACCTGCAGGTGGCAGAATTACAGCATCAGATCTGATATGTGAGCGCGTTCATTGATTGGATGGGAAATAAAGATAATTTACAACATCCCCCACCGTCCACTCTCAGTGAATAAAGACATTTGACCTGAATTAGATTCCGCCGATCATCCATGTCTGATTTTGGACATCTGATGTAATTTGATTTTCAGGAGCTCAGACAGACGCACAAATTACAGCCCACACATGATCTTTCAGAGCAGACAGATTTCATTGAATCTGTGGTAGATGAGTTTGACCCCCTGGACTCACGGCACAGAAGCTATGTGTGGTAATTTAAGTGTGACAGCGAGGATTGTTTAATGTCTCAGGCAAACGAACCTCAATCACATGATTATTCTATCTAAAGAGATGACGCTGTATGAAGGAGAGCGTGTCAGTCATTGAAACTGAAGCCCTGTGGGTCAGCAACAAGAACATGAACAGATTTTGTGTAGATATTCACTGTAGACCTGTTACCTTTGCAGTGAGCGTAGGGCATTGTGATGACATACTCCTCATCTCTGCTGAGGAACAGCAGCTTCGCTTTTCCATCGAGAATAGCAGACAGAGAGTTTCCTGCAGCAGAGGGACAGAGAAAAATCACAGTTCAAGAAAAGATCCTCCTTAAAAAGCTTCCACTGAAAGTCATCTTCTGTACCTCTGAAGGAAGGCTTGGAACATTTATCAGCTACGTACCATAGAACTTGGACTTGGCCAGGATGCTTCCACTGATAGAAAAACCATCTTTTCTATTGCAGATGTAAAAGGCAGAGATGGGCGGATGGTGGGACACCTGGCAGAGAAAAGAAACAGCAGAGTGAGAGGTGTCAGATTTATAGGTGTGTGATGTGTGTCTGTCAAATTGTGCAAAATATTCCACAAAAGGGATGAGTCATGTGAGGTGTATTTACTCGTTCTAGCTAAGAATCTGGTTTCACCTGTTCAGCTATGTAGAAAGTGCAGCTGTTGGTCTGAGGGTGAAGCCAGCAGCAGCGGAAGTTCTCCCCCAGGATTGGGTTGTAAGGCTTCTTCAGACCCTGTGAAAATCCAAAACACAGACAGATGTGAGCAGTGATGTGAGAATCATCTGCTACAAACTGTTTTCTGTCTCAAGTCAAACGGTGCCGAGGAACATTTACACGGCAGTTAAATCACATGAGCATCACTATGGAAAATATAACTCCTTCATAGGACTCAATAATTCAGCAGGTAAACTACAGTATTGATTAAGGTTGTTCTAATAAGAGGTCATCGATATTCTACCCATCCCTCTACAGTGAGTCTGTTAGCAGTAGTCAGTCAACATCATTAGTTGTTGTTGGTTCATGTGGGGTGTTTTGCCATTGGGGTCGATTACATACTGTGATTGGTCAGTTAGTTCACACGCAGCATGCTCTCATGGGCACACAGGTGGAGCTGAGCAAATCAATGTGCTGCACACAGCTCACTGATGAAGTAAGGTTCGACCAATAGGTAGTGGTCAATGTCGATACTGTGACGGAGCACTCAAAATAAATCAACATATGGGAAACACTTAAAAGACGCTAATCGCACACCTGTGTGCAGGACATTGATTTATTTCTAGCTACAAGCTGCAGCTATCAGAGTAACAGTGCTGTCAGATCCAGCCACACAGAGATTTATGGGAAACACAGAAAAGATGTTAAATACTATAAAGCTGCTGTTTTATTTCGTGTTTATCATCATTATCCAAAACAGCTGTTGCAAAAGAAGGGCTCATCTTGTAAACAGGGTTGGCATATTTAAAAGGACATTATGATTCCACTAACAAGCCAAGTCAGTGTGAACAACTCTTACCTTAGGCTTCTTGTAGAAACCAGACAAGTACCATCTCAACACCTGCTTGATACGACCATATGCACTCTCCTCCAGCACAGCTCTGTGGTGACGAGCAGACAAGTCAGACACGGTTCTAAAAAGATTCTTCCATCTGTCTTTGAATGAAAATATCGAATGTGCACTCACTGACACACACACACACACACACACACACACAGTATACAGTTACTGACTGTGAGAGCAGATCAGCGTGGTAGTAGTAGTCAGCCAGCTTGTCCAGGAAGGAACGTGGCTCCAGGATGAAGGTGGGCAGCACCACCTTGGACAGGTCCATTCCCGGCCGTAGCTGCTTCAGCAGGCTCCAGATCAGACCCTTGTTCTCCTCGGATACAGTTTCAACCTGGGACGCCTCCCCAACCTGAGGTAACACATACAAATGGAGGAAGGGTGGCATAAAACCCTTGTGGGTGCAGTGATCAGAGACCAGGGTTCAAGTGATTATATTTAATACTAATATTTGCTTTCTGTGGTAAAGTTTGCTGAGCTACAGAACTAAAGACTTACAACTCAAAATAAGGTAGAGCACGCTACGTATGTAGAGTCATAGTAAACTTGGTGCCTCACCTCAGCCATCTCCTCTGCGCTCTGCTCTACATAGGCTGTGGCCTGTGGCCCGGGGGACACCTCATCTGATTGGTCCATGTCACTCTCCTCCGTCAGCCGTCCACCGTTCTCATTGGGCGTAGTGTCCCAGTCGTCGTGAGCCTCTCGCTCTGATTTGTCAGAAAAGCCATCATGCTCCATGTGGTGATTGCCCAGCAGCACAGCGTCATTCAACCTAATATTAAGAAAGGACGTGAACAGAAAGGTTAGAACTGTATCAAACCTCAATCCTGATATTGAATCTGTTTTCTTGTTTCCACCTCATGATAAGCAAGTTCACTGCAGTAGAGGCCATCCACAATAAAAACCTGGTTGACCTGGAGGGTCTGAATGTATTTAATAAATCTGACCCATCTGGTTGCAAGGACAATCACTCCACCCCATCCTCCCTCCTTTCACACCTTCTGAATGAGACTGATGCACATGCAGGATAATGTACAAATATTCACGGACATATAGCAAAAGTGAATACACAGCATTTTATTTTGTTTACACACTCACACGCATCCTTTCATAGATATATGTGCCAAACACACAAGTTACCATGCACACAAACCCAGACCACAGATGTCAGTGCTTTAACAAAGGGAACAAAGTTTACAAAAAGAGAAAAACTAAAGAAACAGATTCTTTAAGGTCAAAGAAAAGAGAAGTGAAAATGAGAGGGGAGAGGAAGACAGGAAAATGGACATGAGTGCTAAAAAGGAATATATTTCGAATCTTACACCCATTATACAAGGCCAGGAGATGGACACCTGGGTGCACAGCGCACATCATAAAATGCACAAAGAGACATTCAGAGAAGGACATACAAGACGAAATCAATACAGGTCAAATGTTTTCAAAAACACATTCAATGATGAGCCTATAATCACAAAAAACAAGGACTCAGCCTGTTTATCCAAACAACAATGGAAGAGAGTTTATTTGTCAAGGGCTCGACAGACCTGAAGAGTCACATTCCTGCATGCGGTGTGAATTACTAACCAACCCGTAACGTTATTTATTAACCCAAACACGCCTTGGAATAGTAGCAGCTTTCCTTACCTCAAAGACATAGAGCACACAGACAAACTCTTTCTCAGGAATCAAAACACCACCAGTGACGTTAGCAGTAAATCCAAAAACAGACGAAGCCGCTCCTTATCGCCAATCTACAGACTAAAGGGTGCTGAGTCGTTTCCTTGCCTCTGACACACCTGCTTCCTGAATGTGCGTGTGCAGTTTTCTATCTGTGTCGGTTTGTGTGTGTGCGTGTGCGTGTGTGCATGTGAGAGTGTCTATTAAGGCTGGCAACGGCTGTGTTGCTGCCGTTCCTTTCTGGGTGGTGTATGTTTCACATTCTACACCATCTTCCTGCTCCTCTGTCAGTCATGTGATCGTAGAGGCTGCTGTGATTGGCTGAAAGAGGAGCAGGCGAGGGGGGAGAGCTATGATAGATGGCCAGAGGGCGGTTGAGCCATGGAGGAGGGAATAAAAGGAGGAGGAGGAGGAGGAGGAGGAGGAGGAGGAGAGGAAATGGACATGTAATGTATGACAGTTATGCACACAGTGCACATGAAACGACTGAAATGATTTCAAAGACACTAACCATCGTAAACTGTATCTCAGACAAATAATGCAATCACCACAAAAGCAAACGGTGTGATTTCCTAAAAATAAAGAGAAAGTACATACACAACGTGGGTGGCTTGTACCTTGTGTTTTAAATGTGGTGCTTTTTGAAACACAACAAATAATTAATTTCACATTCAGGAGGTCAGTATGGCCACAGTCGGGGTTGATGGCCTCATTTAACACAATTACAGTAGTTGACGAGGAAAAACTACTCATTCACCTTCCCAGTCAACATTGTGATGTACGATTTTTTCAGAATCTAATACATCGATTTACATTTAAAAATCAGCTAATGAAACAGATTATCTTATAGACAATATAAATGTCAGATGAATATAAGGGGTCTGACAAGTTTTGGAAGGCTTTGAAATCCCAAGTTGTATGATGACATAAATCACTTCAGTCTCTATCTTGTTATGGAAACTATTCTCACTAGTCTTTTCAAGTCAAGTCAATTCAGTTTTATTTGTATAGCACCAAATCATAATATCCATTATCTCAAGGCACTTTACATAGAAGGTCAAGACCTTAAAATCTTATTAATAAAGAGAAACCCAACAGTTCCCAAAAGTTTTCTGGTCTGTTTTTCTATTCTACAGTGACGTTAAGGAATATAGCTAATATTTTAAGACAGGTCATGTTGCTTTTAAAATTGACCATAATTATTATGCTTCAACACTGTTGTATTACTCTTACTGTTCAAAAAAAGTGTTGTGTTAAAATATGCATAGCTGCCTCAATGATTAAAATCTCGAGAGAACCACACATGGAAAATGCACACATGATTTGCACTTGTAATTTCCAGAGACCAACTGGAAAAGAGTTTGTCTATATTTAATGTGTTGCTGTGTTTCAAACTTCCATTTCAAGAATGCAGGAGTTACATTTGATATGCCGACTTCCAAACACAATAATTACACATGCAAATGTATATTTTACATGAGGGCTACGCACTACATAGAGACCCCACCTGATGTTGTCTTTTGAATTGAGGTCCATCTGGACACCATTAATATGTTTGGCAGTAATGCCAACAGTCATGTGCATGAATTGGCAAACGCAACAACTTGATAGTGATTACAGGAAATACAGATCCTGCATTAACAAGTAATGTTTAAAATTATATTCGACAGCTGTATGTGAGTGTATTTCACTCACTGTAGCAACTCTGTGTCGGTGAGTGCGGTAGACTGCAGCAGCTGGAGTATATGAGAGGACTCTGAAGATGTGCTGATATCTCCTTCTCTCCCTGCTTTGGCTGTCAGCTTGTAGAGACTGGAGCAGCTGAGAGCCAGCTCCAGGGCATCCATCCAGCATCGGCCTGGAGAGACGGACATAATTTACAGAGGGGAAGGAGTACCTCCAATAATGTACGAGCAAACGCATCCAACCGAAACAACAACACACCAGACTCACCATCCGACTCTGAGGCAGCCCTGAAGATTAGGTAGTTGCTGGGTAGAGGCTGCGTGATGGAGCCAACCGTCTCTCCTTTGGGACCCTGAGCATATGGATAAAATGGTGATTAATGCTTCACGCAGTTTCAGTTTTGTTGTACAGAGTTAAATGCCTCTCTTAAGGGCCATATTATAGAATATCGGACAAGATGGTGAATATCCCTTGTAGAGAACTGAACAGGAGAATTATCACTTAGAATTAAAAAAATTGTGAGCGAAAGAAAAGAGACTGCTAACAAAACAAAAGAAAACGTTCTAAAGAATTTAAGATGAGAAGAATATATGTATAACTACTGCTGCTCTTGTTTTGTTTTTTCTTTGTTTGTTACGTTAGTATATTTAAACTAAAAGCTCCAGCCATGACAAAAAACAAACTACCACTGAAAATACTTTTTATATAGCTTCAGCACAAAACAATTTCTCATGAGCAACAATTAATTCAGACATTATCAGTATTAGTTTAAGCATAACAAAAACTGACTGATACTAACATCTAAACATTGTAGAATCAATTTATAGCTGAAGTCTGTATTAGTAATGTGGTTCTCTCGCTCATCTGTTACCACTGTGGTCACAGTAGGTCAGTGAGCCCACAGCCATGTCTGACCTTAATAGCCCAGATAGATTTGTCCAGCGGATGATAGAGCTTGAAACAGAAACCGTCCTTCTTTGAAGGTCTCTCGATCAGCTTGCATGCACTGAGGAGGATGGTGCCCACCCAGTGGTCCGTTTTGGGGGTCTTATAAATCAAAAGAACTCCAGGTTTCAGGGCGCACCACAACTTGGTCCAACTCTTTAAAGAGCCTCGGATCTACAGAACGACGAGAAGAGACAATTTAAGGATAATAATACGTAGGAAACTAGAGGAACATGATGCATCTTACAAAACACAATGGGAATAACTAAATCTTCTGAGCAGCAGAACTGTTCAAGTGTTGCACAACTATTTGTATCAAATACAGTTGTGAAAATAAATATCTCAATGACAGATGAAGATAAGTCTTTACAACAGTTTGTTTTCAGTGTAACAGCTCTGTGTAAAACGAAATCCACGCACCTTTAGCCAGTTGGACATGATGACAACACTGGGATCCTTTAGTGCACTGAACAGTTCTTTAGCTGCCCGTTTCTTCTCTTGCCTGTAATTCTGCTTTTGGACCTGAGAGACAAAAGAAACACATGAATGAGTCATCAGTCTCACTGGTTAGTGGACTGGTATGAAAGGGCCACTAGGTGGAGGCAGAGTCAAACACACTACAAGCATTCATACAAGACGTCCTGTTGTCTCTGGTTTTCAGTAACATGATTCATTATGCTATGCTTTACAAAGCGGTACACAGTAAAAGTATTATTCATGGACATGTTAAAAAGATCCCAAATGGCTTGTGTACATTTGAACCACTGAGCCGCAGAGTGACAGAGATACTGAAGATACTAAACTAAACACATGTCATAATGAATCCAACTGCAAAACCATGCTCAACAGTTCTCACAGTTATGGAAGGAAGGGACGTGTCATGTACCTTGAGAGACTCCTTCCGGGCCAGCTTCTCTGTGGGGGAGGGACAGTCCTTCTCAACTCCATTAAACATCCTGGACTCAGACTTAAGGAGAGAGCAGAGAAGATGATCAGAGGGGATGAAGAGGAGGGAGATAGGATATCACAGAAAGAAAAGCAGTTTAAATTTTAATTAAAAGTAGTTTAGTCTCTTGTAAAAATCTAGGTCAATGGCGAATATGATTAATTTATAGTGTCCTGCAATCAGACTTAACTTGTTTGACTTGGTTGCATTATAGGAAGCACATTATTTAATTGTTCCCTGTTCCACAGAGCATATCTGTTATACCACAACTTTGAGTGAAGCAGGTAGGTGGCCCTTTCAATGAGAAGGACAACTTCGCTGACAGTCAGTTCTGCTGTTGTGACCACAAACCCACAGACTTAGTTAGAAAGGGAAATGACTTCTCCACTAATCTGTGAGCACAGATCAGAATCTCACTTTGCTGAGCTCACACAGGCACTTATCTGTTTGTGTTAATAGAAGCCATTCTTTAAGCACAGTAAACAACTACGGCCCCTAATGATATCAACATGCAAGGGTTAAGGCTGTGCTCAGTCTCCTTTTGTCCTAAAAGGGCTTCCATGATGGAAAAGAGGATGCAGCTGCACATGTGAATTATTTGAATTGTTCCACGTGTAAATAGGCAATATTACGAGATGAAGCCAGACAAAGTGACAAGAGGAGAAGAGACGAGACAGGGTGAGATTACACAGGTTGCCAGTGGAAACATTTATTGACCAGTCATAAGTAGTATGACTAAAGAATGGAAACACATTGTTAGGACTAATACAGCATAAGCAAGATAGGCAGCGCTGGGAAAATAAATGCCTGAGCTGCCAAAATGTGGTGCTACAGACACAGTTCCCACCATGGCCCTCACACATAACAATGTGGATTTAACACACTGTTGTGTCATGACTTCAAAATGTTAGTTATTCCTATTTTGTAAGTGGGTTTTTTTTTACCAAAACAAACAAAGAACTCTGTGTAGTTTCCACTTCTCATATATTTCATGACCCATTTGTAAAATGCCCTGACGTTACATAACTTCCTCTCAAAACAATGCATCAACAATTGTAGGTCAGTTCCATTTAAAAGTCTTGTTTGTCTTTTAGGTTGTTTTATACTGTGGTTGATGAGAAGAAAATAAATCATCACAGAATACAAAGGCGAAGGCTCTGTGCAAACCCAATGAGTCAACTACAGAGAAGTGTTAAGCAGCTGCCCAACCAGGTGCTGTGTTCTTACCTTGCTGCCTGGTGATTGGGCAGGACTAAGTTCATTACTCAGCATGGAGAGACCGTTCCTGTCTGTCTCACTGCCTGGTGGGAACCCACAACACACAGTCACATACAAATGAACTCAGTGAATAAACCTGCTGACAGACAGTTAAAGCATGGCAGCCCTAAAAGCAACTAATAAGCAGCAACTGAGGTTGGTTGATTTTTATGGAATAAGTACAGTGCAACAAAGTCTGCTGGGATCCACCAGCACATGTCAAATAATATATCTGGTTTTGTCATATTCATGTGTCTGCTTTGACCCCTTGGGTCATTTACCTGGGCTGAGGTTGTAAAGGTCGTTGTCTCCTCCATAAGACAAGTTCCGGGTGAGGGTGCGGGGGTCAATTTTGGGTGGGGAGGTGGCGTTGGGGCACAGAGAAAACCTCCGATGGAACAAATTCTCCTCCTTCATCCTGACAACCTGCTCGTCCTCTGCAGCGGGAGAAGCACAAAGGGAAGAGGGGAGAGAAAATTCTGATTAAAAACAAAAAAAAAATTGAAATATAATGCCGATATGTTCAAATATTAGATTTTACAAACATTTCAATGAAGTTATTCATCCTTTCATCGTGTTTTTCTCCCTGAATCTGATCGTTGTATTCTCTCTCAGACGCTCTGAAATGCCATCCTAGATCCTTCCTTCTGTGTATTTGTATCTGGACCCCCACCTTCTGTCTTCTCTCCTACACTAACAAAGACCCCTACTGTATGAGGACATGTCAACATAACAGCACTGTGCGTAGCAGTGACAAGCGGTTCAGACTGCACATTGTTAGAGTATATGACAGACAGATGCCCCACCAAGTCCCAGTGTCCACAGAGACTCACTGTCCAAGACAACACCCACCGCCTTTACCACTACTCGTCCATCCTCCACAATACTTCACTCAAAAGACAAATAATGTTCCTCTTCACTCGTTCCCTTGGAATTGACGAGGAGCCGGTCCACAAATAAAGCACTAAACAAAAGGGCGGAAACTGCAGCTACTGCAGACATGTGCATGATGAAGCTGTGGCTCTGCAGCTTCATGTCGCTGTGCTGCTGGTAATTTGCAGAGGTGAGTGGATGAGTCATATTTTTAGGTCACCATGCCCACATAAAGTGGACAAAAACAAGTTCATGTACACACACACACACACAGAGTATTTGTTGTTAACATGTTTTTTTTTCCTCATTGCTACCTGAGGTACACTCAGCCACTCTGTTTCAACTTTCTAACTATCCATAGCATAACAACTGCTAAGCATCACAGCTTTTTCCAGACAGATAATCATGCTTGGCCGAACGGGTGTTGAGTTGATCATTGAAAATCAGAGCTGACGGTCAAACACTGAGTTTAATGGAGCGTAGCTGTTACCACCTGGGACTGTCTGGAAGGACACAATGTGCTCTGCTCTGATCAATATAATCCTATTCATTTTCTCTCAGTGCACAAACAAACAAACACAGCGGACGAGACCCTCTGACTCGCAGCCTACAGACCAGTCTTGTTTAAGTCCTCAATTACAACATCAGGGAACAGCGTGTTACATAAAATTCATTCATAGAAGGAGTTTTTACAGACTGATTCATCTTTTTAACCCTCCCACATAGTTGGGCTGTGATTACAATGGTGCAAGTGCAGTGTTTATACCGGTAAGTGATAGAGATGAAACCTGTGGGTTGACAATGGCTTGAAATGGAAATTGGAAACCGCATGTGGTGCTGCAAGAGCTGCGGTGGTTAGAAAATGGTACCCTCCCTCTAGAAGTATATACATGTTCATATTAAAAATACACAAGAACACTCACATCCGTGTACTCGTCACACCACTCCCTGCTTCCCTCTGTGACTCACTCTCTCAACCGCCACACTCTCCTCTCATTTCTGATCTTGCAATCTCCTCTGTGCATTTCTTCCTCTTGCCCTCTGCCCTTTTGTCCTTTCAAAGAGCCATGGAAGACCAAGATATGAGAGTGAAAAGGTAAATTTATTTCTCTCCGAAAAAAGGAGCCTTATTTGTCCTTGAGGGGCAGGTCTATAAATAGCCTTCTATTGCTGCAGTGCATGCGTGTATGTGTAGCACAGTGCTGAACCCTGAGTGGGGTGCAGGCTGCATGGAAAAGAGCTTGAGGCATTAACATTACACAACGGTGAGCACAATGGACTGCCAAACTGTACAGACAGAAGCACACGTACACACGGAATCAATATATCAGTTACAATGCAGGCTGGTCAAAATGTGGGCAGACGCACAAACTGACAGGACAAACCAATCACAGCTGGTTCTCACAGCTGCAGGGAGACATTTTTCAGGAGAATGACTGTGTATGAGATGAGCACATTACGCAGTCTAGACCGAGCATGGGTGTGGCATCCTACTTGTGTTGTGTGTGTGGGCCTGTCAGCTAAGGATATAGAGGACATGCCAGTAGTTTTTTGGGTGTGTGTGTGTGTTTGTGTGTGTTCTGTGCGTACGTGACCATGTGTGCCTCTTGTGTTGCTGCAAACCAGGAGGATTACACATGCCCATAATGTAGCACCAAGGAGGAGAGGAAAAATAGCCAATCCCTGCAGCAGCAGTGGAGCAGCCTGCATTTAGTGCGCATTACACACAAACGTGGATAAAGGCACAAAATACACACACACACACACACTAATAGTTTTGCTTGGATTTCAGACCACATCAGAAAAATAGTTACGTGTGAGAGAGAAAGCATCACATTCATTCACTTCTGTGGGTGTGTAAATGTGTGCCCAACAGTCTGCCTCTCACTGCAAAACACTGCCTGACTGAAAAGTGTTCAGTGCTGTTTAATTCCCACACTCGGCAACAGCAACAGCAACACTCTTTTCAAGTCGTTCATTCAAGTAAAAATCTGCAATAGATGAATCTGTCTGCGGTGCTTAATATGTGCTGGGTGCATGAACACAATGTTCTTCTTACAGGGGATCAACAGTTTAAAACTAAAACGACATAATCAAAATTAAATGAGGAACCACTGGGGAGTTTTCATGTCCAGATATAAATCTTTGGCTGCTGTGTCCTCTGAGAGTGTTCGTCTTGACTGAAGTCAGAGAAGCAGTGTGTTTAATGAAGATGGAATCATTGGGAAAGAAAACATATCTTTGGTATCAACAGAGATAATAAGTACCAGTGTTTCCCATAAATTATCTAGACTGCGGCGGACCGCCATGTTCTCATTATTCTTGCCACAGTTTCATAATGACTCCCAGAAAATTGTTTCACGTAAGAGATCTGTGACTAAGTGTTTTGCTCAATTGCTCCATTGTATAGCTGTGAGCAGCGCAGTTTGCAACTCTATTTGCAGAATGCTCACAAGTCCAAAAGTTGTTACCGAGGGACATTTGTGAATGTGCACGCCGGAAACCGCCATAGTTTGAATGAATTTGGATTTTAGGATGGAAATGAAAAATTTTATAGTGACACTTCAGTTTTTGTGACACGGTTGGGAGGAAAGCTGAAATAGAGCGACCTCTGCTCTTTTCTCTGTGAGTAAGAATATAAGGTTTGTAAGGACACAATGATTTATAAATTAAGAAGAAAATGTGAGAATTCAATGGGAATCTCAGGAGAAATTTAAGCATGATTTTGCTTAGTTGTTAATCTTGCCGGACCTTATTTTAAAACTGAAACACAGAATGCTATCTTTCTACACCTCAACTTTCAGACCTACGTGCACACAGCAAGTTTGCCCAGCCAAGCCAACATTAACTCTATTTGTGCTACACAGGTGCTAGGCTAATATTTACCCAGTGATATGAACATCTTGTGGAAAAGATAACAGTGCAGTAGCAGCATCAGATCGGTCAACAGCACGCATTCCTGTGTCAAACATTAACCTTGATCTGTCCAATGAAGGACAGATAAAACAACAACAATAACACCATGTGACCTGCTGTCAAATTGGCACACACTCTTTAATATTCTCTAAAAGATGGGAGGAAGAGGGAGGAAAAACAGATGGCATGTCTGAACCTGTACATTGGTAACATGCTTGACTGATCTAACTTGATGAAGTCTCTCAGGGATACAAGGTTTGGCTTCACATAAACAATTCCACAAACAGTCAACCACTGTATGAGACTCTGGTTGAGACACAGTTTACTTAATTGATTGAGTACATACACATGTGACATTGGAGCCTTGGGGAAATGTGGTATTGGCAGTAGCCCTTAACTCCATGACCCAATTTCTACACCGACACAGCCCCAAAGAGGAAAAGAGGTTCCTTTCAGATTGACCTGGTGTGGACAAACTTTTCTCCTCATAAAACTCACATTGAAATGAGTACAGGTTTTATAGTCAACACAACGTATAGTCTATTTATAGACTGAAACTAAATCTATCAACACTACTATGTGGAAAATGACATGTCATGCTGGCTCTTCTGTCATTCTCCAAAAGGTCTAACTGCAAATAGAAATACACACACACACACACACACACACACACACACACACACACACACACACACACACACACACACACACACACACACACACACACACACACACACACACACACACACACACACACACACACACAAATAAAGACTTACCCTGACCCCAAATTTAGCTCAATGTAAAAGTCTTTCAAATGAGTTTAAACTATAATGTATTTAATTTTACAGCCAACTCACAGAACTGTGGAAATTTTACCACCAGCTCCATGTGCACAGAATCTGTCAGCTTTACAAGTTTCTCATTGTCAGTGTCTCTTTAACTAGTGTGGTTTTCTGCATTAGTGACATCATAGTGAAAAAACAGTGAATTAAATTGAATATACTTTATTTTAAAAAAGAAAGACAGAAAATTAAAAAACACACACTACATCATCTCCAAAACAGAGATTAAATAATCATCTTTTATTAACAATGACTTATTTTTTATTTATATAAAGAATGTGAACAACTGATCAGTGCGCATCTTCCAGGCTATGGACCTATTTATATGCACCAGAATAAAAATTCTTAAGGCCACCTCACTTTTTCAGTCTAACTTGTGACTGAGCAGTTCACACAACCTGAATGAACAAATCAACTAGAAAAAAACAAAAAATGCTGGTCCAACACAAATACAGTCAGTGTCAGCTGGGCGTGAATGTGGCTTTGACAAAAAAACTCCACGGTGTGTCCACGGGTTTATCTTCATGAACATGCAGCAGTATGTGTTTAGCTTATGTGTGAGAGTGTAAGAGCCTTGCAGCATCAAGCCAGCTGTTGCTAATATGATGACACAGATTAAGTCCAGACACTCCCTCCATCTTTCCATCGCTCCCTCGATCCTCCCTTCAGCACCCCCAACCCTGTTAACCCCCTGTCTCCAGTGACGACAGGACTAATGGACTGCCACATGACCTAGATTTACACCAATAGGCTGTCGCCATGTACAGTGTGTAAATCAGTGAACGAAGCAACATGCCGTAGTG